AAGAATGGCGTTGCGATCACTGGAATTGCCATATTCATCGCCGCGTTTGAGATTGGCCTTGGACCGTGCTTCTTTGTGCTTGCCCAGGAACTGTTCCCACGCTCTTTCCGTCCGAGGGGTTCGTCCTTCGTGCTCCTGACGAATTTCATCTTTAATGTTATCATCAACGTCTGCTACCCGATCGCGACGGAGGGCATCTCTGGCGGCCCGTCTGGCAACCAGGACAAGGGTCAGGCAGTCGCGTTCATCTTTTTTGGCTGCATTGGTCTTATCTGCTTCGTTCTGCAGGTGTTCTTCTTGTACCCGTGGGAGGAGAGCACTCCTCAGAAACACGGCGACACCAACGAAGAGTCCGCGCTTCCAGAACAGCAGTTGCCGATTGAGGTTGCCACCCCTGGCAACCGTCAAGCCGCGTGAGTGTGTCGTGTGGCACCGTGTGAGACGTGAGACCAATATATCTTACGGCAAAATAAAACGCAAAACGAGGGTGCAGGACTGCGTTGCTGCTGACGACACTGCGAAAACCGCGCTCTCCATCGCAGGTGTCGTCCGATGGGGTTGGCGCGCAGCACCCGATAGAGCCAAGCGGCATCCTGCGTTTTTCTGGTTACGGGCAACTTTACTCCTTTCTGATTCTAATTGAAAACGGCTGTATATATATATTTTTTGCTTTGGGAAATTGTGAAAAGGGTGTTTGCGAGGGGGCTGGTTAACTCAATGAATATCTTGTGATAAAACAAATACATTTCTGGGCGATTTTTGTTTCTTTTTCTAACTTTTGTTCTTTCGGGGGACCGCGACGGAAGGAGTCAAGGGGCCGATAGCGGTGAGACGAAATTATTTATGTATTGGTTTTTCCGCTCACCCCCTTTTGGTTCCTCCACCTTGCGGCGGGGTCTTGTGGCTGGAGGATCCGAAAGTCTGCCACTTCTTATGTAATGAACATTTTCAATTCGAATAGAGTCCACCATTTCATGGTGGTGACTATCAGAATATATAGTTGGAGCAAACATCGAGGATGTGGCGAACCCACTGCCTCTCCACCATCTATTTTTTCCCTTCCTTTCTTGTCTGTGATTTCAGGATCCGACCAGCAGCTCAGACGAATGTGTCAAATCTATTTCTGAGGAGTTGTCTGCTTGCTTGAATTCGAATCTGCCGTTTGTGTTTGTTTGTGTGGTTTCTTGTTGAGTATTTTTTTTTCTTCTTTTGTTGCTTCTGCCGCGTTTGGTTCTGCTATGTTATTATTATTATTATTTATGCTTTGACTGTCTGTAAGCCCATGTGCCTTTCCACTTGGTGTTGTTTTTTGGGGCGGGAAGTGAGGTGGCGGCATCCTTTTTGCCCGATAGTGCATTAGAGCACGAAGAGGAAGGAAGGAGAAAGATCTCCCGCTCCCTTCTTTCTCTTCAATTCCCTAATCGGACACGCACATCAAGCGGAATCAAGGGGGAAATAAATGTCGTCAAGACAAGGCAACAGTATTTCATCGTCACGAATGCACGAGAACCCCGATGACCCTGCAGCAGTGCTCTGTGCGTTTCTCATGGCGAGGCGTGGCTGGAGCCGTTCCCGCACCGCTCTCACATTGGGAATCCCACCACTTGTGCTTGAGGAGTGCATCCGCAACGGCGTTTCCTCCGCCGCAATACGCTCGCAGTTAGCGCTTTGGATTGCTGAGAACAAAGATGAATCCCTGCCACCAACCCTTTTGAAGGCGGTTGTTGAGACAGCACCTTCTTTGACCATTGGCGCATCGGAATACCTACAGGACGGTGACCCTTTGGCCACACTGGATCCTGTCACAGAGTCTTATTTTGTCGAATTGGGATCGAGTGTTGGTCAGAGCTTTATCTCAATTTTGAATGATCCACAAGATGCTGCGGAAATCAACTCCAATTGGGGATTGTGGCTCGGAAGCGTCGTGTCTGGTGCTTTAGATCACAAGGGACAGACAAAACGCGCTGAGACCACTGTGAGTCTAGGGCCGTCGTTGTTGACATCATCATCATCATCTGGGACACTCCTTGCACGCTATGGTTTGCAAGAAGACTACTCTTCTTATCTCCATCTCGTTACTGCCCCGTACAATAGGAATCGGGAAGAGAGTCGGCAAGCATCGACGATAGCGGACGGAAATGAGCGGCTTGGTATTGCTAACACCCCTTCTTCCGTCGAAAATCTTCCGTGGCCGACTGGGGTCCCAAAAGAGTTTTTTGACTCATTCTACGACGTGAGTTGTGAGGTTTGCTTTTTGGAGCGGAAGCTACGAGAACTCGGAGGAGACTCTGTAGTTGAGGGGAACAACACTTCTATTACTGCACAGACATTTGGAGAGGATTTTGAGGTAATGGAGACTCGAATGAAGGAGCTTCGTCTGTGGGAGAGTGCCGTGGAGGGATGTCTTCTGCAGCACGTACAAAGTCGTTCAGAGCAGTTTTTTTATGCGTCCCACGAGTTTGGTAATCGAGCTGCGGAGGCTCGAGAAGCCCTTGAAAGTCTGCGGCAAACGCGGACGGACATTGGAACCTTTGGTAAGGGACTAGTTCAAGAGTTGCTTACGACCGCACGGTGTTATCGAAGCCGAAACAACCTTGGGTCTTTGTGTAATCTTGCAGGAACGGTAATGTCGGTCTCTTCTCAAATGGTAGCTATTGAAAATTGGGTGGCACTTCCCGAACGGGATATGATGGAATTGCCAGTTATTGTTGAGATCTTTTGTACGCTGCAGGATGCGATTTTAGCAGAGCATTGCACGGGAACTTTCTCGAAAAACGCTGGTACCCTTGGTGTGGGGTGGATTACGAAGGTGTCAGCGATGAAAGACATCCCACGCCGTGTGCTGCATTTGAAGGAGAAGCTCTGCGTGATGATTATGGAGGAATTGGAGGTGATTCTTCTTCCGGCGACGCGTGGAGGTGGAGACGATGGCCACATCACTAGGACATTTCGTTCCGCTATGAAAATGGGAATATGGCCTAGTGCTGCACGTCACTGCAATGATCTTCTTGTAGATGCACTGTGGACGGCAGTTCGCGAGGCCTTTATTGCCTTTTTGATGAGTCATTGCGAAATCAGCGATTCAACGGCCAATAATGTTCTTTCCACTGCGGTGACGGCTGATTCTTCACGCGAAGAGAAATTAACACTATTTGAACATTCCAACGCATGTCGTTTTCCCCTGTACATAGAATTACTGGGCCTCACTTTGGATCATGTCCTTGACTTTGTTACTCAAGCTGCCCAGCGATGGGGGCTTCTGCTTGTCGATATTTCTCCCGACCCCTCTGTTTCAGACACTGAAGGAGTAAATGCGGAGGACACAAGGAAATACTTCTCGTCCTTGTGTACGGTTGCGGAGAGTTTTGTCGCTCTTCTGCTTGAAGTTCGAAGCCAGCGGGGGAAAACGCCTACAAACCTTCGGGATCTTGAGACAGTTGTTTCTATGAGTTGTGCCTTTCTGCCCAATATGGTGAGTAATCTTCAAGGTGTTCTGGCAATCTGTGGCAACATCGGTGATACATGGGGGTTTGTCTCAGGAAGGCGGATTAAGTCGGCCGTGACGCGGCTGGTGAAGGAGCACCTCCGCTCACATCATGCGGAGGGCGTTGAAAAATTACGTGTGTCAATTGAGAATGAAAACTGGCAGCCAGAAAAAATTGACCCTGCCTTTCAATCCACTGTGGACGTTCTTTGCCGAAGTGACGATGCAGCTATCGAGGAACTTCGGACACACGCCGTGTTTACTGAAGTTATGGGTGAGAATGGGTTTTGCCATCTTGCGGCACCAGTGACAACAGCAACAGCAATGGCGAGACAAATGGTAGTATCAGCGCCATTCAATCCATCATCTAGGCCTTTGAATACGTGTGAAGCTGACACAAAAAAATTGCTGTTGATTCCACCTGTGGATGGCCATACGGAGGGTCGGGTGGTGAGTAGCTCGATTTTGATGTTGATCACATTGTTGCATGAATGTGATGAGTACTTGAGTCGTTTTCCTTTTCTTGCCTTTGATGTGATGGGGAAAATATATGACCTTCTCAGACTGTACGATTCACAGTGTGCTGCTCTCCTCCTCGGCGCGATGGCTGTGGAAAATGGTGTGCTGGATACAATAACAACGCAGCACATGGCGGTCGCGTCACAAAACCTGGCTTTTTTATACGACGGTATTCCACTTATGCAGAGGCGCTGGCTTCGTGCAACAACTGTCGATAAGTTGTCATCGCCTATTGTTGAAGACATAAAGAGAGTTCGCAAGGACTGCGCGACGCACCGTTGTGAGTTTTTGGGTAAGATATCAGGCTTGGTCAAGGAGAAGGTTGGTGGACTTGGGACAGTCTCCGCGGAGCAGTGGCAAGCATCAGGTAATGAGTGGGTAATGACAATGCTGCGTGAGACAGCGAGGTTGATGCGGGCGATGAGGCCGATTTTGCCTGCCGAGGATTGCCGTGGGGTTGTAGTGCCGCTCCTTGGCACATTTGCTCGAATGATTCGTTCGGTGACGATGTGTCCGGCAGTTGATGCCGACCTTCGAGCAGTGATGCTGTCGGATGTTCTTCTTTTCAAGGCAAATGTGGAGAGATTTGGCTTTGATGTTTTGCGTTGTGCGATATTATTCAATTCAGAAGCAGAGGCAATGACGAAATCGGTTGAACCCTCCGCATCGGAAGCGGATGTCGTCGCCTGGTTTTTTAGTGACGAAGGAGGATCATGAAGACGGTGGTAAAAAAACACACTCTTTTCTTTCATTTTTTTTTTCCTTCATTCCCCTTGTTGCCGCTGTTGTCTCTGCTTGCGTATTTTCCTCAGTACACTGGGGAAGTGCAGGCCGTTTGTTTCTGTGGAAATGAAAGTGGAAATGAATGCGTCTTTCAGGGATATCCCGGTGTTTATGAGGTGCGGTGGCGGTGCAGGAGCATTTTGCTTTTTGTTTTCATGAGTTGGGTTTTCTTTTGATTTCTCCCATTTCCCGATGAGGGGAACATCAGAGGGCGATGTACCGTGGCCGTCAGCGCTCCACAATCCTTCACGCCCGAATGGGGCACCTGGTGTACTGCACTGTGATTCGTTTTGTGGCAACGTCATTCTCTGATGGGACTCATGGTTCCGGCGCATTGCGAGGGTCTGGCCGTGAGATCAACGCTCTTCTTCGAGAGATCAATGACCTATGGGTGCGGCGTGGCGCCAGCGAGCATAAAATTTCTGTTTCCGCATCCAATTTGCGGCCGACAATGGCAACGGCCATGACGGACAGAAGTCCCGTTCAACCGCATGTGAGTCCCACCGTCCCGGCGGCAAGGGAGGACACACCCCGAGGCCCTGTAATCACAAAAGAGCTGCCGGTACTCACGGATATTGCGTGCACTCTGCAGGAGTTGGAAGAAGAGCTGTTCAAGCTGTCAGCCGATGAGGCAGCAGTGACTGAGCCTCCAAATAACGCATGTATTCGCGGATTGAAACTGGAGAATGAAAATGATGAAAATGAAAAGGGTGCTGTTCTATCATTTAATGGGCCAAGCGAGCCACGGCATGAGGCCATGAATTCTGCAGCTGCGGAATCCCCAGCCGCATCTTGTTTCTTTGAATCTCTGTGTCACCATGAAAACCTCTCATGTTGGATGGATGCTGAAGAAACCAAACCTTTACACAACTCCATTACACTACAAGTATCCAAATCTTCTGACCGCACTTTTGTTTTGGAACTTCGGGAGCAACCTCTATGTGCGAGAGACGTAGTTCTTGCGGTGAGTCAGGCCTTGAATGAAGTGGAATCTTTGACGGAATTAAGCGAGGGCCTTGTTGTAGTGTTCCGTTCAGTATCCGGCATTTTTTTCTTTACCCCGCAGCTTTCAGAACTGGAGGTGAGTTATTTAGCTCGTGCAGAGTTGCTGAGAGCAAAGGAACGTCTTTTTTGCCGCATGCGGGAAGCCAGACTTTGTGGAGTGTCTTTCATAGCAGAGTTGAATCATTCCGCATTTAATATTGGCGCGGAGTTATTTTTTATGTGTGACAGCAAGCTCATACCGGAATCTGGGGTATGCGGCAGGGTCGCAAAGGTTGGATTTCCTTCTGTGTCAGCTGGAGTCTGGCCGGCGCCGTGTGTGGTACAGTGCATATCCAGTCTTCTGGGCTACGGAGAGAAGGTTGGTCTGGTGGTTCCCATTATGCACACAATTCCATGGAGTGAGTTGAGTGAAAGATATCCTCAACTCTTACAGTCGGGTTGCACCTCGCAGCGGTTGCAGGAAAAGGTATATCGACTGTTCAACTTGCAGTGGGATCGTCTTTGTGAGTTATTGGGGTGGGGAACAGATCGATCTGCCAAAGAGAATCGCGTGGATTTTTTGATGCGCCACTGGGACAATTACTGTGCATTGGTGGATACGACTCAAGGTGGCACAAATTCGGTTCTTGATTTTGCTGCTGCTTCCCGGGGTATCAGCATGTATGTAACACTTCTGGGAACGAGCGATTTTTGTAACGCGGCGTCAGTGACCATGGCGCTTCGTCGTATGCGACATCGAGTGTTAAATCCACCACCACGGGGAAGCATTATTGAATTACGGGCAACCGATATGAGCAGCGTTACGGTGGGCGAATCGTTTTGTGTCTTTACCGAAGCTTCTTCGCCCGAAACGGTTCGTTTTATTGCGGAGCATCGCAGTTTCAGCGGAAATGGCGTGATCAAAAGTGCTTTGCTGATGGGAGAAATAGAGGGCGTGAAGGATGCAGCTGACTTGTTGGATTGCGCTGTGGTTGCTACTAATCTACGTCCGTCGAAATTGTGCACATTGGGTGAGGGCGGGAATATGGTGGAGGTTCAGCTTCTCTGCTCTCCACATGTACGAAAAATTCAACAGAGGGAGGCACTCTCCTCCGCCTTGGCGTATCTGCAGTCAAAGGGCATACCGTACATTGTCAGTAAGGGGGATGCTGGAAATCGCCTTGTGGCTGCCCTTTCTCTAGAGTTGTGTCGACTGGCCACGGAGGCGGAGATGCGGCTGATTGACGCCGTCGCAAGAGAAGAATTGCGATTTAGCAGCAACCCATTTCAGCTGCTTGATTGCCATGGTATGATGTACATTACAAAGGTGATGGGACGGCATCCACATTTGGCGGACGAGAGGCGAGTTCCGCCAATAACGAGGCGAGTATTGTCGGCAATGGATGCAGAGGGTTTTGGCGGTGAGGGTGTTCACCGCGGGGGATTTTACAACTGTTATGGAAGCCTCAATCCGGAGATTCGAACAGAGTTCTTGAGGCGGAGAAAATTATCACGGAGCGATATTTTCCTGCGGCTCTTGTTTGCTCTTGTGAATGAAAGTTGTCGCATGCTGCTGGAGGGTTGTGTTGAAACGGTAAATGATATTGATCTTCTTTCCATTGGCGCCTTAACGTTGAATTTGTCAACGGGTGGCCTCCTTTCGTACGTGGACAGCGGTATCGGATGCCTTGCACTGCTGCGCAACATGAATTACCTTTCAAGGGATATGGGCGTCACGGACCCACCTTCCCCGCTGCTGCAGGTGATGTTGGAGGCGGGTGAAACATTTCGCACCCTCTCCCCAGAAACTTTATACCAAGCGAGACAAAAATTTGTGGGGGGGATTTGACTGGAGGGGAGGCTTCTCAGACTTGCTCGTGTGGACTTTCGTCAGCAGTGGCGGAAGCGACAAAAAAAAAAATAATCAAAAAAATGCGGCCAGAAATTATCAGCCAAGTAACACGCGTTTTGGGTGTGACATGTGTGTGTACTGACTTTATTTGTTATCATTATTATTATTATTATTATTGTTATTATCACTTTGTGTGCGTGTAATGTGTAAGTTCACGTCGCATGTCTCTCGTTCCACTGCGCCTTTTTCCTTTTTATTTTTTTCGGAGAAAGGGAACTGAGGGGGTTTGGAGAGTTGGGGGTTCACTGAAGGACGACAGGATCTCCGGGCGATGGTACTACACAAGTGGGCGGTGGTGAGTAAAAGTGCCCCGCCGCCTCCCGGGCTGCGCCCCGTCGCCCGTGTGATTCCTTCACATCCTCGTTTGCGCCCTGCGGATTACAAGATCCCGTATGTGCTGCGTACATTTATCAAGGACCGCTACACAAGTGACATGCAGCACATTGAAAACAGGGGCATGTTTGCGGAAGAGCTGGCGATTGAGCGATCGAGGTTTCCACGTTTTCACAAGACTTTGACAATCCAAACGGACGGTTCAATTAACGAGCGGGAGTTCGAGTTTGTTGTTCCCCCCGTCGTCACGCTCTTTTATGATCGACTTTCAGCTCATCGCCAGCGTCAGTTGGAGTTGGCGAAGATTGGGAAACTGCGGAAGGAACGAAGCTGGGAGACAAAGACGGTGGGCGAGGAATCCTCCAACCCCGTGTGCAATGCCCTCGTCTTCCCATATTGTGTGCCGAAAATGATGTGGAAAAGGCCACGACTTGCTGATCCGCTGAGTGCCAAGTCCCATGTTCGAGGCTCGGGCTTAACAACGGCAGATCATTAGTGGGGCATTCTGGGAATTGTTGTTGGCAAGAAGGAGCAAGAGGAAGTGGGGGAAGGAATAAAGAAAAAAAAAAAAAGGAGGACTGAAACGAAGAAATTACATCTTACGTTGCACTTTGTTGTTGTTGTTGTTCTTTCCTATTGCTTTTTTCTATTGCACTTCCTGTGGTGAATGATGCTGGCTCTGGTTTTGGTTTGGACCTCGTATGGATTTGTTTAATGATGGTGTGCGCTCCTCTGTATGCTGTAACATTTTTTTTTCTTTTTGTTTCAACAGGCCCTAATGGAGGAGAACAAGAAAAAACAAACAAAAATGGCATTTGCCGAAAATTCTCACGATGTCATCGTGTCCTGCCTCTCAAAGCAAACGCTGCAGGAAATTGAGGGCCTTGACCCTGCACAATGCGGCTTTGGCCGGGAGGAGTGCTGTGAGCCTCTGCCGGCGAAGCTTCCAGGCAGCATGGCGTTAAAAGAGCATTTATTTCTTGCCACCGACTTGCCTGCAACAGAATGGGATTCGAAAACGGGAAATGTTCCTGGGTATAGTGCACTGGAACAAGTTGTGAGTTCAAGAGGAGGCATGAAACTCACGGTTTTTTATCGTCCCGGTCCCGATAGGTGTATTTTACGATTTAAGTATGAGGAAAGTTTGGAGTATATGCTGATTACACAGCACAGTTGCATCACAGAAGGGGAGCTTCCGTGGGAATCCGAGGGTGCGATAAGCTCCGATCGCTCGAATGAGGTGTTTATTTTTGTGTGTTCCCATCGTTCTCGTGATGGTCGTTGTGGGTACTGTGGTGCCGTTTTGGTGGAGCTTTTGCGTCAGTCGATTAGGGCCAAGAAGGGCGATGATGAAACCATTCACGTGTACCCGTGTTCCCACGTCGGAGGGCATATCTACGCTGGAAATGTCTTGATGTACACAAATCATGGAGGCATATGCTTTGGCTGCTTTACTGCAGCTCATGTGGATGCATTTGTGGATTTTCTTATGGGGGGCGCGGCGGAACTCCCGGCCTCGCTGCAGCAACGTGTTCGGGGCAGAATTGGCTACACAAAGGTAAACTCCAGGTGCTGCGTCATGTAGAATTGCTTTGTCTTGTCTACGGCGCAGTGGGGAAATACAAACAAACAAGGGAAAGGAAGGCTTATATCAAAACAAAAGCAGCAGCGCCAAAGAAACGGAAGGCCATGCCACCTTCGCCGAAATATATTAAATCAAAGAAAAAGAAAAATGAGGGGAGTGGGGCAAAAAAAGAAGACATGAAACAAAAAAAAGCGAAAAGGAAAAAGCTTAATGCTTTGTTGTGGAAAGTAAGAACGAAGGGTTAGAACGGGTAAAAAGTTTTTTGGGCGTGGCGTTTTTTCTTTGTTTGGCAAAACCAATAATTGCCATCTGGGTGCGCATTTTCTGCCGTGTGACAGGGTTTGACTGGGTTAGTTTTTTTTTTCCTTTCCCAGACAATAAACGGTAAAAAAAAAAAAAAGCTGAACTTCTCATCAGTTCCTTGAACGACTGCTAGTTCTTCAAATACATGCAAAGCCAAGAAGCAGTCGATTTCGTTACGCGTCTTTTACCCCTCTTCTCCGTTTATTTGGAAGGTTCTCACTGAGGCCCTGTGCTTTTACTTTTTTCACAGCATACATACATATATATATAGGGTGCGTTAAACGAGGTTTGAAACATGGCATCGGATGTCGTTTATCGCAAGCTGAACAAATATGAGTGGAGCGAAAGCACTCCTGTGAAGTTGGTTGCCCCGCAGTCTGGTGAAATTATAAAGGAGGTGCTTGGAGGCGCATTAGCATGCTTTGAAAAAAGGGCTTATCTTTGTGGTGGATATGACGCACGGACTGGTCGTAGCCTTTCACAGCTAGCTGAGTTTGATTTTTCTACAAAGCAATGGTCAAAAGGGCCCTCTTTGCCAGAAAAAATAAGAGACGCGGCTGCTGTCGCATTTGGGGAGTACTGTTTTGTTTTTGGTGGTTGGAATGACGAGAATTACAGCAAAAACTTTTGGATGCTTGCTCCAAAGAGCCCAGGAAATAACATGGCAAGTGCTAAGGAAGCAATTATTAGCTCATGGAAATTGGTGCAACCCGCTGGATTAGGGCCATCGGCTCGGGTCTGTCATGCGATGGTGTTGGGTAACATGAGCGATGAAGAGGGTACGGCCCAGAATCCGGTGTTATATCTCTTTGGTGGATTTGATGGTGAAAAAAGGTTGAATGATGTTTGGCGTCTGCGATTGAGTGCTTTGATTGAACAGGGCGTGGCCGCGTGGGAGTTAGTTGAGGTTAAAGGTGGGACTCCACCAGCACCGCGCGATGATGCTGCTGTCGCATTTGATTTGGCGGGCGAGAGACTGCTGGTTTTTGGCGGGTTTGCATCCTCCCTACAGAGCGATCTTCATTTCTTGTCACTGCGCGGGGGAAAGAATGAATGGACGTGTCAGCTGTGCGTTAATGTTCCTTCCAGGCGTCAGGGTTGCGTGGCGGCGGTGTCGAACGGGCATCTATTGGTGTGTCTTGGAGAGGATGAGAAGGGCTCTTTGTCTCAAGTTCTTCAACTTTCCTTGACGGAATTCAAGTGGTGCATGCTTCCCTTTGAAAAGGATGAGCTTGTGGGGCGTAGAGGCTGCGTTGGGTGCGTGGGTGAAAAAGGGAAACGCATTATAATCTTTGGGGGTGGGGTTCTGCCGAAGCTTCACTCAAGCCTTTTGGAGTTTGAACTGGAGAAGGCAGATGCAGGCAGTACAAGGAAGAAATGAGGACATTTGTATATATATATATAATTATGTTTATTTAATCTCTTGTTCTTTGTCTTAAATACATTTTATTTGTGCGGCCTTTGAATGTAGATTATGCAACGAAACCCTTCTTTATGGATTTTTTTTTTTTGTTGTGTGTGATTTTTTGCTTGTTTATGTCCAAAGTGGGTGATGCACGACGAGGGCCGTGGTGGTGGGATGGTCGGGATTTTTTTATTTACCGTTTGTATGGAAGGACATCGGCGCAATTTTGTGCCTTTTTTTTTATTTTGCTTTTCTTTGCCCTCAATTTCCTCGTTTTTTTTTTTTTTTTGCTGCACGCGTGCATGCGTGGAGCGGGTAAGGTAGCGCACTGTTATTGGGTTTCACACACACACACACACACCGAAGGCCTCAAAGAGCTGAACAGAGAAGAAAAAACAAAAGAGACGGGAAAGGGGGAAAGCAGAAAACGAAGCATAATAATAGTAATAATAATAATCAGTTGGAGTGACGTTTCCGTGAATGGCGGACGGTTCTGAAGTCCGCAAAAGGCGGCCGTTGGAGCCAAATGAGAGGGATGAGGTGCTAGACAACACGCCCAAGTATGCCGATGCAGATACAATGGCGCAGCGCCGCATCGTGCGGGTGCAGCGTACGTCTGTCAGTGATGTCGTGCCGTCGTTGAAAGGGGCGTTCAAGGCGGTGCCCGGCTTGGCGCCGACGGCGGCACCATCTCTTTCCACAAATTTTGGGTTAAGCGGCAGTAACAGCATCAGCAGCGGCGCCAATTTCGCACTGGCCAAAGTTTCTTTTCCGGTTGTTGGAGAAGCGCCGAGTTCTGTCTTACCTGGTGCCAAAAATTTCACATTTGGTGTTGGCAGCAGCCCCAGTGAAAGCAGCAAGGATAACAGTGGCGGTATGGTCGCTGTTGGCAATGATGCGGCTGCGGGGACGTCTTCATCTCGAGAGACGTTGAATTTTAACGGCGCGCGAAATGTTTTTGCGGAGGCCAAGGAGCGGATGGCGAAGACCGTCGCTGACGTGGAAGAGGAAGCGCCGGCGGAGGAGAAGCTTGCCACCAGCGATGTTCTTGCCCAGGCTGCTCATGTCACGCCTTTAACGGAGGAGATTTTGGCGTGTGCGTCCTGTAAACTGTTTTTGTTTAAGTTGGAAACCAAAAGTTGGGTGGAATGTGGCGTTGGTGATGCCAAACTGAAGCGGCGCGAGTCCACAGAGGCCACGGACGGCGAGAAAGGAGTAAAAAATCTTTATCGTCTGATTGTTCGCGATGGTTACGCCCTCAATGCAGCACTGTCCAGAAATTTTCATCTTACGAAGGCAGATGACACGCATGTCATCTTTTCCATACCAAAAAATGACGGTGTTGCAACTTACCTTGTGAAGTACGTGGGGCAACAGGCAGCAGAACACGGCCCGGAGTTCACAAAGAAGTTAAAAGAAGCTCTGAAGTTGGCCCAAGAAGATTTTTCTTAGGAAACAGTCAATGCAGTTTTTTTTTTACAGCGCCTTGTGTTTTCAACCTTTTTTAAAAATTATTCATATATATTTGTTTTGGCATCCATCTCCTTTGTCTTTTTTGTTTTGTTGTTGTTGTGGCAATTATTAGTGGGAACCGCGGTGGGGATGGGATGCCTGACTGCTGTCTCCTTTTTTTTTATTTGGCATGCGAGCACTTTTTAATTATTTTTTATTTTGACTCAACACATGAGGGACTTTTCCACAGCTGGCCATACACTGGTAGGAAGAAAGTTGCCTCACGATTGCGGAGGGGAGGGGCGTGTGCCAAGTTAGGAGAGGCAACGCAAATACGCGTCTTTTTTTTTTTTTTTTGAGGGGAGGGGGAGGGGGCGAACGAAGGACGAAAAGGAGAACACGTCGCGCACAATACTCTTTTTATTTTTCCCTCTAGAATAAAAACAATTTTTTTTTTTTTTTAGTGATGGAGAGAACTTCTTCCATTATCGATGACCTTTTCAAGAAGGACCCAAATGTGAGGCACATCTTATCCCCTTCGCAGCAAGAGTTGATGGGGCTCGATGATGCTATTAGACGCATCCGCGCTGAATACGAGAACAATTTCACAAACTCCGATATTACATTTCAGTACGCATGCCTTCTGATCCTGCACTCCCGCGCTTCATACATTGAGGAGGGCGTGCGCCTCATGGAGTCATTGCTGTATACCGCATGGAAGAAGCGCCAGGCCGAATTGGCGGGTGCATCGTCAGTAAAGACGAATTTGATGCCCGGTGAGGAGGTGGATTCTCAAGAGGATATTTTGCGTGGTAGTGTTATTCACGCGGCCTCTGCGCCGCCGGAAACACAAGGAGAGTGGGAGCATTTTGAACACGACGCTGGGGAACAAGAAAAAGAGACCGATACGAAAAGCAAAAGAACCACATCCACGGACGAGCTTGTTATTAACTACTACTATCTAACAATTGGATGGATAAAGCTTCGGAACTACGACAAGGCACTGATATGTGTGAATCAAATGCTTCAACTCCAGTCTGATCATCGCCAGGGAATCGCGCTGAAGCAGTACATTGATGCAGAAGTAAATATGACTTTAACTGCAACTGGCTTAGCGGGAGTGGGTGTCGCCGCTGCCGTGGCAGCTCTCATTGCCGTTTGCTTTCGAAAATCATAATATTTTACATTTATGACGGGCGAGGTGCAGTTTCAGTGTGAAGCGCCAGTTTTTGTTTTTTTTTTTCTTTCTT